CCCTTTGTCCCCCCCCTCCCCCCGCCCCTCTCATTCTCTGCCTCACTTTTCATTTTCACCCACTCTACTATTCTGGAGATAATGCCTCCCGATAATACCTTAGCACATTAGCTTGTCTTCAGTTCTGTTTTTCTGGACAAAGTGGCTAAGACAGTTATTGATGAAGACTATATAAATAAGATGTGGTATAACCATGCAGTGGACCATTACAAAGAAGTGAATACATTTGAGCTCTAGATAATGATATGGATAAGTCTCAGTAAAACAATATTAAGTGAAAAAAAGACTACTTTAAAATAGTCTTTTTAGAAATTTTCAAAACAAATAATGCTAAACAAAAACATAGGCATATGCGATTAAACAATTAAGAAACAAAGATATAAAAAGCACAAAACTGTATTAGATCTTGGGTGATATAATGTACCAGCTTCCATTACATGACAAATTAATTAATTTACTATAGTATATCAGACATGAATAAATGACAATACTGTGTTATAAATCTAAAGACTATGATTACAAAATTCTGGGCATCCATGTCCTTAATCCTTTAATAACAAGAAGAATCAATAAATAAGGAGAGAGAGAGAGAGAGAGAGAGAGGGAGAAAGGAATAGAAAATAAAAAAGAATAAAAGACAAGACAGGGGTCTGGCAGAGGAAATTAAAATGGAAAAGTTAATACTAAGTAATTTTTGAAATCTTAATAATGGCTAGTAGTTATTCTATAAACATCGTTTAGATATTTTTAGTACGTAGGAATCCTCCAGCCTACCCCAAAATAATAGGCATCAAAATGATTTTAAAAACAATATATATATATTTTTTGAGAGGCTTTTGCTATAGGGCATGTGCGCACATCAGAAAGACAGAGAGAGACAGAGAGACAGAAACCGAGAAATCACCCCCTCGGGGGATGACCATGCTACAATCCCTTCTACTCTCGGGATCTTGGGCATGCAAGCACATGAACTTGGCATGAGTTTAAGCTACTGGGTCTGGGACTCTAACCATGGTTGACTACATGGGAGTCCAGCAACATAGCCATTACAACATAGCCATTACGCCAACTGCTGGTCCCCAAAACAATAAATTTCTTATACTTACTGCTAGAAGTTTATCTCCAATCTGAAGTTTGCCATCCTTATGTGCTGCACCTCCTTCAATTATCTTAGTTACATAGATGCTATTATCCCCAGGAATATGCTGATTTCCAACACCTCCAGCAATGCTGAAACCAAGACCTGTTTGAAAAATACTAGTTTTAGATTCTCATCAATAAAATTAAATTTAATTCCAAAGAAAAATGGATGAAAACTGTCAGTTAACATTCTCATCACACTATTTCTTAAAATAGAATTTATATTTAGCTAATTACTTTTTTAAAAAGTTACTTTAATTTTATTTATTCATTCACTTATTTGAATTTGATGAGAGAGAGAGAGAGAGAGAGAGAGAGAGAGAAAGTCACCAGATCCAGGACTCGAACCATAGTCAGCCATGTGGGAATGCCCAGCACCTCAACCACCATGCCACCATGTCCCCGCTAATTACTTTTTAAATCCTAAGTATTTTTCCTACAATCAGCGGACAATTATCAGCATAGCTTCTTCTACAATTACAAATGAATTTCTCCCCACCCCCGCCCTGGGCTCGCTCTTTCTTCTTTTAAATTTTCCTATAGGGTGTGTGTGCTCACAGAAGAGAGATGGGGGTAGGAAAGAGATGGGGGTAGGAGACAGTGAGAAACCACCTCCCAGGGGGATGGCCACAATCCCTTCTCCTCTATTCTCCTCTCAGTATTTCAGACATGCACGCACACATGCCAATGTGTTTTCTCATCTTGATTTGGGACTCAAAATGAACAGTTTGCCATGTGGGATCCAGCTGCCTTAACCTTCACATCACCTGCTGGCCCACATGCTCTTAAAAGTCTTTATTATAAATATACTTGTTAGCTCAAAAAGATATTATGTTTTATTTTATTTCTATAATCATTGTGCTTCTTACTAATACCGCTAATATTTTCACAAAATTAAAACATTTGAGGCCCAGTCTGCTGGATCTGTCAGTAGTGAACTAACTGCAGTGTTTAAAAGTTGTATGACTGACCTGGCGTTTCAATCACTGAGCTGGCCTAAAAACATGATGAGAGCATCCATGGAGGCCCAAGATCCTGAAAAACTGGAGGGCTTAGAAATGGGATTACAGTGTAACACGACCCTGTTAATGGTCTCTGTTTTTTATATGCACACACTCTCTTTAATGAATTAAATGAACTTCACTGAAAAAATTGAGAATAATAAAATTATGCGTTGATGGTTAGCAGAAACAACAGGTTTTAGAATTGTGGATACTTTTCTTCTTTATTCAATATTCATAGATCCCAGAGCTCCAACACCAAATTTTCAGCTCTCTATTCCTTTTTCATTTGTTGCAATCCTACCTTTTCCATGAAGCCACATATTGGAATTAGTATTTCTATTTATCCTCAATCCCAGTTTTCAAACTTTAGAATCCTCTTCTTTCTTTTTCCTTTTCTTTTTTTCTTTTTTCTTTTTTTACCAGAGAGACAGAAAAAGACAGAGAGACAGAAAGCAAGAAATCACCCCCCAGGAGGGATGGCCATGCCTCAATCCCTTCTCCTCCATTCTCCTCCTGGGATCTTGGGCACACACGCACACACGCCCGGCGTAAGTTTAAGCCACTGGGTCCTGGACTCAAACCGTAGTCGACTACATGGGAGTCCAGTGATATAGCCATTACGCTAACTGCTGGTCCCCAAACTTTAGAATCCTATCTTAACAGTCCTCACTGAAGTTTTAACTGCTCATGATATATGCCATGTACTTTCTTCTTTTAATTTAGCCTGTTTATCTGTACTTAAAGTACTTTGTAGATAAACGGTTGCCAGTTAATTTCAATATTATACATGACTTCAAAGTGTTCAAAGGCCAAGAATATTTCATTTCTTTTAATACTAAAAGTCTTTTATGTGATGATACTTAATATAGAGTCAGATTTACTCATGAAAAAAGATTTTACTTTCCTATTTGTAAAAACTATTAAAGACAGGTTACAGAAATTTTGAAAATAAAAGTCACATAGAAATAATGCCTAAATTATAAATTTATATACATGCTCATGGTAGTATAATGTGTAAATGTATACGTAAATTTGTATAGGTAGGTAGTTAAACATGAGTCAGGAGCAAAGGACCTGGAGGTTTGGGAACACTGCCCATAGAAACAGCCCAAACTAACTTGGTGCATGCTCACTGTGGAGTTTAGCTATTCTCAAATAACCTTCAGCTCATTAACATATCATCTGGAGAATCAGCAGATGGCATAATGGTTATGTTGTTGTACTCCCAGGGAGTCAACTGCAGTTTATGTCCCAGACCTGGCGGCTTAAGAAACATACCAGGTGTATGTGCATGAGTGCCCAAGATCTTCAGTGGAGAATGGAGGGGAAAGGACTGTGGTGTGCCCATCCCCCCAGGGGAGATTTCTTGCTTTCTGTCTCTCTGTATCTCTTTGTCTCTCTGGTGAGCACATGTGCCATATAGCAAAAACCTCTTAAAAAAAATCATCTGCTGGGGCCGGCAAGTGGTGTGGTGGTTAAAGGTGCTGGATTCCCACATGGTTGACCGTGGTTCAGGTCCTAGACCTGGTGGCTTGCTTTCATGGTTTCCCTTTCTCTCTCTCTCTGCCTCCGTCTGATCAAATAAAATAATAATAACAAATGGAAATAAATAAATAATTCTTTGTAAAAAAAAAAATCATCTGCACTGATTTCTGAGAAATGATTATATAGCCAGGCCCAACTGAGTGAAGAGGAATAGCCAATATATAAAAAATACAATACTTAAAGCAGAACTTGAATGCTGGTATCTACAATGAGCCAGTCTACTCCCATCTTTTAGGAACATACTTTCGTACCACACTAACAGATTAACATGAGAACTTTTCAAATGTTACACTTAAAAAAAAAAAAATTGGCCAGACCTCTGGATCCAAACCTCTGGGTCCTTCGCTCCTGACTTATGTGGACTACCTACCTATACACTTTGGGGTGGTCAGGGTGGGTGGGTGAGAAAGCACTCCTCTCCATGGGGAATTTTTCTCCCTTCTCTCAGGACCTTGGGCATGCACTCACACACGTCTGATGTGTCTCTCAAGCTGCTTGGTCCAGGACTCCAACTATAGGTTTGGCCATTTGGGATCTGCTTCCCTTAACTACCCAGAGATTTCTTACTTAATAATTGGTCTTAGTTTGATTTATCACATACCTTTAGGACCTTTAACGAGCTTTATTTCCATTATTTTCTCTGACACTGGTTTCCTTCTTTTTACATACAAGTGCACAATAGATCCTGCTTCTTTCAGAGCTTCAACTGCTTTGCTATGTGTTACATCACGAACATCTACTTCATTTACTCGCAATATACAATCATTGACCCTGAGAAAAAAATTTCAATGTTAAAAATAGAAATATGAAAAACATTAAATATCAATATCCCACTTCATCCAATTTTTGTTATTTTCATTTTTAAAAAACACTTTGCCTAAGGGTGCATATGCTTATTAGAGAGACTGAGGCAGGAAAGGGAGAAAGCACTACCCAATATGGTGTAGTCACACAGCAATCTTTACTTCTTCATTTCTCCATACCTTCAAGACTTTAGGCATGTGATGCACATGTACCCAGTGTGCTTCTCAAGCCACAGGGTCCAGGATTCAAGCTGTATGTCCAGTCATGTGGTTTCTGGCTCCATGAATCACCAGTTCATGGGCCAGCCTTTGTTTTTTTTAATTTTTAAGGTAAAGAGAATTATTTACTTTAGAAAATATAAATGAAGATGCTGGATATTAAATTCCAGTGTATTAAATACTTATATGAAGAAATATAAACATTTCCCAAGGGCTGGCCAAAACAAATAGTGCAAAAAATATATTACAAAAATATTAAATGATAATTATAACTACCACTTGTATGCTTACTGTATATACTTATTAATTATAGACACTACAATTCTCCTAAAATTTTTATTTATTTATTTATTTATTTATTGGGAGAAATTTTTGCTATAGGGTATGTGTGCTCGCCAGAAAGTGAGAAATCAACCCCCCCTCAGGGGGGATGGCCACGCCACAATCCCTTCTCCTCTTGGGATCTTGGGCACACATGCACATGTGCCCAGCGTGAGTTTAAGCCACCAGGTCCAGGACTTGAACCATGGTCAACTACATGGGAGTCCAGCAACATAGTCATTATGTCAACTGCTGGTCCCAGAGCTGTGATTTAAAGATAAGAAAACAGAGACTCAGACTGAATAACTGAGATTACTTCATTGATTTATTAAAAAATAACTTTTTGAATGCTTTCTCTAATTTTAGATGCAAGAATTAATAGCATAAAGTTATTTTAAAACTTTTATATGAAGTTAAAGATTAGGTCATTTAATTCAGAGGTTTCCTATGAAAATAAACTACCATAATTTGATGTGGAAATATATTTTTTTTAAAGTTTGGCTTGTTTCTTATTCTAACCTTTCCAGCTAGCTTTGCTCTCAGTTTTAGTTACATTTGTTCCATTTGGAAGAAAAAGGTGGCAATCTCAAATTGAGTTGGGAGGGGAACAAAATACAAAATGCTAAAATTGTTCCCAACATGCTGCTCTGGCTAATTAATTTTTTTAGACGAAAAAAATTCTATATTCAAAACAATGATCCCTTAGAGTTAATATTACAGGTATGTTTGTCAGTAAAACAAAGGACCATAATAATTAATTTATAAGCAGCCCAACAGAAGGCCAGTAATAGAACTGGAAAGTGCATTTCTATATTACATTAATAGTCAAATGATTCGTTTTTACATCTAACTATTTTAATAACATACCATCTGTTACAACTACTGAGAAGTCTAGAAACTAAAGGGATGCATGAAGTATTCATACCCTTAAAATAATAGGCTATTTTAACAGACTATATAAAATACTTAGCCCTAAAACTTCAGACTATCTTATTTTGATACACATATAAAAACAAACAAGAAAACAGGAAAAATGCCATAATTTATGGCATAGGAAAATGAAGTTTTCAAATGGGAACACTAAATGTAAACAAGAGACCAGTGTTATTTCATCTATTCAATTAAGAAAACATATTAATTTATTTAAAATGTGCATATACTTTATTCTTTGTGGCATGGGATTCAAACTCAGAAATACATGAACCTGTGTATCTTACATAAGCATATATACATGTTTCCAACCAAGAAAGAAATAAAAAATACATTGTGAATGTATTTAAACATACAAAGAGACACTCATGATTTCTGTAAATTTACTCATAAAACAGTTAAATCATTAATCACTTATTATTAAAAATGTGTATCTAAGGTAAAATCAAATTCCTAAATGATAAAACAATGCTTACAGCAGAATGACATAATTCTTTCATTTGAATGTTGTTTGAGCATTATGTTAATTATGAATAGTTTTTCTTTTTTGCATGTACCTCTTGTCCAGTCTTCTTCAAACAGAAATATACAAAGTAAATTCAGAATTACAACGTAAAGTGTAAAACATACCGTAATCTTCCATCTTGGGCAGCTGCTCCCCCTGTTATAATTTTGGTAATAAAAATACTTGAGTCATCTCCAATGTGTGGGTTGTCTGTACCTCCTGCAATGCTGAAACCAAGCCCTGAATTTCCCTGCGGATAAAGGAAAATAATTCGAGACCAAATAAGAATTATCTTTATTCATAGGTTCCTGTCATAATAAGACACTGAAACTGTTCTAAGTAGGAATCACAACATATAAAGTATATGTGTGGGTAATATGAAGGTTCTAAGCTAAATGGACATGCTCATAATATGTGGAAAGTCCTTTCAGAGGCATTAGAGCTAAGTAGATACAGTTGAAGAAATATACTAAGTAATTTGAAGTCTCCTCTGCAGTTCTTTCTTTACAAGTATATGCAATTTGTCCTTGGATTAGTCACCTATTTGCAAAGGTGTCACTGAAAGTCTTTCTCTTAGACCACCAATCACCCATGTTTGGTGGGGCAAATCTGTTCTGAGAGACACACTGATATGATCTTTTTGCTGTTATTTAATATTTCATCATATGTAAAAACCAATATATTATTTTTCATCTAACATACTGGGATGCTAAGAGAGGAGGACCATAATGTGAGATGCTGTCAAATCTATCTATTATCTCTCTCCTCTCCCATGGATGTGCACTCTCTCACATCAAAGAATAGAACAGAACAGAACAGAATAAAATGGATCAAACTGGACCTGCTAAGTAACAGCTATCACCAATCCTTGACATGTGTAATTAACATTTGTCTCTAGTAAAAAAACAATCTACAATACTAAAAGAACAACCTAAGAACTTAACATTAGTGAGTTTTCTTAATAGCAAAGTACATTTTGCCAAAAGAATTCTACTTTTTGCTTGTTTTACAAACTGGAGAAACTGGGTTTCTGAATACTATTTACTTCGTAGAAAGGGTTCTATTGCTATAAAAAGGTCTTCAAGGATAACTGATCTAAGCAATGGTATTAAAAATATTTATTTTTGTAAGAATGTTCTAAACTCTAGCTTTCAAGCAATCAAATAAGCAGATACATTTGAACCTATTATATTATTGAACTGTTCTAATTAACAGTTTAAATACCCATTCTGCCACCATTTATCATAAACTTGTATTTTAATTTTTTTCTTCAGTCTAAATTCTTCAAGCTACTTGAATCTCAGTAATATTGGATTTTTGGAAAGTCATGACACATTTTTGCATAGAAAAAAATACGTCATGACTTTTCTGACAACCCAATAGTATCAGGAGAGCATCGGAAGTTACCAAATTGCTTAAGTACTCAAGTTCTTCCATCCTTGAAAAACAAAATGTATAGTCTTGAGTAAATAATAGGAATTTAAAAGGCGCTGGGAAAGGATTGAAAACAAAAAGAATAATAAATTACAAGATGTCACAAAATACCATATTAAAATACATAGAATATATTATTAATATTGTGCTAACTTGAATGTTACACAGCATCTTCTTGACTTGAGCATGTGATTCAAATTAAAATAGTAGAGCAATAAAGTTTATTATACAAGTGAAAGACCCTCACGAGTCTATTTTCCTCAGAGTCTATTCTGGTTTCAAACATAAACCAATCTAACTATTTAGAATTGTATCTAAATATATGGGCATTCAGAACTTAGGAAATTTACCTGTATGAACACTTAATTTCCAAAACTGCGGCCAGACAAACTGGCATTACTAAAATACAGTATAAATTAAGCAGTTATTCTTTTTGTCTTTTTTTTTTTTTGAGAGTCTTTTGCGATAGGGCACGTGCACTCGCCAGAAAGACAGAGACAGACAGAGAGATAGAAAGCGAGAAATCACCCCCCAGGGGTGATGGCCATGGTGCAATCCCTTCTCCTCCATTCTCCTCTCAGGATCTTGGGCACACATGCACATGCGCACGACATGAGTTTAACCCCCTGGGTCCAGGACTCAAATCGCGATCGGCTACATGGAAATCCAGTGACATAGCCATTACACTAACTGCTGGTCCCAAATTAAGCAGTTATTCTTAAGGGGAAAATATATCCTAAGAAAATGTACACACCTAAATTTTACCCTATGTAGGCTAGTACATTAGTTTTTGGTATTGTCTTAGGCACTAGAACTAGGGTTATTTATTTTTTATTTTTGGAGAGGTTTTTATTTTTATTTTTTTTGCGATAGGGCGCGTGTGCTCGCCAGACAGAGACAGACAGAGAGATAGAAAGCGAGAAATCACCCCCCAGGGGGGATGGCCACGCCGCAATCCCTTCTCCATTCTCCTCTCGATATTTTGGGCATGCACACACGCACACATGCCTGGCGTGAATTTTTAAGCCACCGGGTCTGGGACACGAACCGCGGTCCACTACGTGGGAGTCCAGCCACATAGCCATGACGCTAACTGCTGGTCCCCTAGAACTAAGGTTATTTTAAAAGGGGAGAAAACTAATGCAATGACCATGTTATTAGTGTACTAAATGCCTATTTGAAATGAATATTTTATTATATGCATATAAATAAAAAACAAAAGAAGAACAAAGGAAACTTCTGAGAAATCGTCAGTCTAGAGGAACCTAAGGATATATGATAATTGAATGCAATGCAGTATCCCGGATGGAACTTTGGGAGTGAAAAACATAAAAACCAATGAAATCTTATAAAGTATAAGCTTCAATTAGTAATAATATATCAGTTTTTGTTCACTAGTTGAAACAAGTGTACTCTAGTGATACAAAATGTTAATAGGGGAAGCTGAGTCCAGGGCAAATGAGAACTCTCTGTACTATCTTTATAGTGCTTCTGTAAATTTAAAACTATTTTAAAACAGCTTTATTTTAAAAAGTTTACTAAAGAAAATACCATTATTAGTTTTATAACATAAACTTACAGAAAGTACTATAATGTTCTATTTCTGAAAGACCTTCTTTAGATTCTAAATGAAAGAACAGTACATTTAAAAGCTCTTTAAATCAACAAATTAATGTAATTAATAGTTTTTACCCTTTCAAGTGTGATTTCTTCATATTCATAATCTGCATCAGTGCCATTGACCTAATGGGGGAAAGAAAAGTAGTTTAGAAGTTCAGAGTATAAGTTCAGAGTATAAAATCTTAAATAGCAAGACATAATTTTTACATGTCTTATTAATGAAAATCTATTAAATGTGAAAGTAATCAAGTAATACATTGGATTGTCGGAAAAGTCATGATATATTTTTCTATGTAAAAATGAGTCTTGACTTTTACAATGAGCCAATAGCTTTATTTAAACCATTTTAGGGAGACCAGGAGGTGGCATGGTGGTAAAGGTGCTGAACTCCCACAAGGCCGACTGGGGTTCAAGTCCCAGACTGGGCAGATTGCTTTCTCACTTTCCACCTTGGCTCCCGATCTCTCTGGTCAAATTTTACTTTTATTTATGTATTTCTAAATACATAAATACACATATCTTTAAAAAATCATTTCAGGGAAAATTTTCAATAACTGAAGAGTACAAAAGTGATTAATCAGTTAAATTCACGGTTGATATTCAAGCTTAGCTTTTAATATTATTGAACTCCAACTCTTACCTCTGCCATGACTCACAAATCTAATCAGCAGCCAACTCTTCCTGATTTGAATACCTACTTCAGTTTTTCTGTAAGCCATCACCTCTTCTTTCTCACTGAGTCAGGCATTTTGTTAACTTCTGAAATATTACCCACCTGCCAATTTTATCTATGCAACGCTTAGATTAACATAGTATTCCCCCACCCTTTAAATCATTCTTTTGTGTTTTAAGCACTTAGATGTTTAATGTACATGCTAATAACATTCTTCCCTCTCAAACTTTCAGAAACCTTTTTCTTAAAACAAATATAAGTAACTAAGGTTTTGTATAAACTTTACTTAGAACTTCACTTACCAAGAAAGCATATATAGAAATTAAATTTACTTGTCATCATCCCTAATACCTATATCTCACTTCTTCACGCATCTCAAACACTATCCAATCTGAATGACTTGCACTTTCCATCACAACTGCAATTCCCCACCTTTATATCTGGAACTTTTAGGTTTTCCTCTGTAAATTTCACTTACACACTTTATGTCCAAATCAGGTTCACCATTCAAGATGTTGCTCACATCTTAAAAACCAAGCATTTTATCTTATTCCTAATTTATCTCCTATTCTTTCCTGAAAAAAGTGATTTCCACAGTGAGGGTCACTGGTAGATATGAAGACTGTAGATCAGACTGGCATACGTTCAAATCCTTGCTTTAAAATTTCTGGTTAAATGGAACCAGCAGATGGTGTAATGGTTATGTCCTGAACTCCCACGTGGCTGACCGCAGTTCTAGGGCTAGACCCAGAGGCTTGAAACTCACACTGGGTGTGTGTGCCCAAAATCCTGTGAGGAAATTGGAAGAGAAGGAAATGTGGCATGGCCACCCTCTCCCCCCAGGGTGGGTGTGTGATTTCTTGCTGTCTCTCTGTCTCTGTGTGTCTCTCTCTCTGGCGAGTGCATGCACCCTATAGCAAAAAATCTCTCTCTAAGAAAAAAAAGTACACATCTATAAAAGAAAAATAAATGCAGCACAAATGATGCTGTATGGTTTCCTAAGCTAGGCTACTGAGTCCTTGTAGTTGTTTGCCTTTGCTGCAGAATGCATTTTCTTATAACCTCGCAGTTATAATGTGAGGAAACATAGCCTATGGGTTGAGCCAAATGAAAAAGAACCAAAGCCCCTGCTGTGCTTGTGAAACCAAAGCCCCGCTAGTGCCAACTAACAACCATGTACATGAGGATATTTTACATCTTCCAGTTTTTTTTTTTTTCTCAGTTCTTTTTTTTTTTTTTGGAGAGATTTTCACTATAGGGCGCGTGCGGTCGCCAGACAGACAGAGAGAGACAGAAAGCGAGAAATCACCCCCCAGGGGGGATGGCCACACCACAATCCCTTCTCCTCCATTCTCCTCGCGGGATCTTGGGCATGCACGCACATGCGCCCGGCACTGAGTTTTAAGCCACCAGGATGTGAACCACGGTTGACTACGTGGGAGTCCAGTGACATAGCCATTACGCTGACTGCTGGTTCCCTTTTTCCTCAGTTCTATCCAACACAATGTAAAGCAGAAGAACCATTCAATTAACCCAGAAAATCATAAAAAATGTGGAATTGTTGTTCCTTTAAGTCACAAATTTTCAGGGTGTGTGAGAAAAACACAACATAAATAATAAACATTTAACATATTTTAAAAAGTAACCCTTGGGGCCAGCAGGAGGTGTAGTAGTTACTACTACTACTAATGATAAAATAAAAATTCTTTTTTTGAGAGAAATTTGTGCTACAGGGCATGTGCACTTGCCAGAGACACACAGAGAAACAGCAAGAAAGAAAGCAAGAACTTGCCCCTCCAGGGAGAATGGCCACACTGCAATCCCTTCTCCTCCACTCTCCTCTTTGGGTTTTGGGCATCCATGCACATGTTCCTGATGTGAGGTTTAAGCCACTGGGCCCGGGAATCAAACAGTGGTGAGTCCAGCAATGTAACCATTATGAGATCTGCTTGCCCCTAAGTAATTCTTCTTCAATAAAGCAGTTGGTGTAATGGCTATGTTGCTGGACTCCCATGTAGTCAACTGTGGTTGGGAGGGAGGGAGGGAAGGAGGGAGGGAGGGAGGGGGAGAGGGAGAGGGAGAGGGAGAAAGAGAGAAAGCAAGCCACCAGGTCTGGGACTTAAAACATTGTTGGCCATGTTGGAGTCCAGCCCCTTAACTACCGTGTGACCTACTGGCCCCATAAAATAATTCTTTTTTTTAAAAATTACTTTATTGAACTTTATTCCTTCCTTCATTCATTTATTTAAATTTAACCATAAAGGGACAGAGTGAGATTGAGTGGGTAAGTGTGTGACAGAGAGAGACAGAAAGTGAGAAAGCAAGCTACTGGGTCCGGACACAAACCACGGTAAGCCATGTAGGAGTCTGGCATTTTTAGCCACCATGTCACCTGCTGGCCCCCATATAAATAATTAAAAAACAAAATCAAAAAACCCTTAACTCAGGTATAGTAAAGAGTCAGGCAATTTTTGAGAGGTTTAAAGACAGTTTGTTTACATATTTCTTCTATGAGTGAGAAAGAGGGAGAGAGTATGCCCAACAGAGTCCTGACACCACAATCCAGGAGCCTTCAGTCAGGCTGGGATCAGAGCTAAGGGTATGCCTGGTACACACAGTGAAGTCTGGACATGAACCTACAATCTCCCTTCTAATGAGGGACTACCTCAGCAGCTTCTAAAACACATTTCTACTCCCCTTTTGGGTTCTTCTTGTGCCTTTCATGGATTCAAACTCAATTACTACTTTGCTTCCTTTCTTTCTCATATAAAGATATTTTCCTCTTGCTTCTGAGATTTGTGTTAAAAATCATTTATATATACATATAAATACATGTCTTATATACATGCTAATCTGCGATTGCTATGCATCTAAAGTAGAGAAGAACTATACATGTACACATCCTGCACATCCTATCACCAAACCTATAGGTCTTTTTTAATGAGTAAAACTAAAATTCATGGTAAGCAGCTATAGTCACTTTCTTATTCTAAAGATTATTTGCATCATTTTTATTATTTTATTGGACTTGCTAAACATCTATTAGTCTTTATCAAAGAAATAGTTTTAACATTACTGATGAATCTATTATATTCCATGTTATTACTTTCTACTTTTGACAATTCCTTATTCTTTTTTTAGGCTTTCAAAACATTTTTTGAGTCAAATCATTTATGCTTGCTCTTTTGTTCTAAAAAAATCCACTAAAGTTTATAATTTTCCTTGGCATCTGGCTTTGGCTAAATCCCACAACAGCTACATTGAGCTCTAGTTTTGTTCATTTTCAAATTTCTAAATAGTCTGCAATTTTGGTAATTTGATTGGAATTGTATTAAATATGTAGATTAATTTGGGTAGAATTGCCATTTTGATTATATTAATACTTCCAGTCTAGGAACATGGGATGTCCTTCTACATTTTTGTGTCATTTTCTATTTTTCTTTTCCTTTTTTTTTTTAAAAAGATTTTCATAGTTTTCCTTGTAGAAGTGTTTAATTTCTTTGGTTAGATTTGTTCCTAGGTATCTTATATTTTTTGTGGCTATGATAAATGGGGTTACTTTCTTCAGTTCTACTTCAGTCTGCTTGTTGTTCATATACAGAAATGCTATAGATTTATGTATGTTGATTTGGTATCCTGTAACTTTACTATATTCATTTATCACTTTCAGGAGTTTTTCTGTAGATACCTTTGAGTCTTCTACGTATAGAACAACAAAATCCAAAAAATGTCTGGAGAAAAGAAAGAATAAAAAGCTTGAGCAGAAATAAATGAGACAGACATCTGGTCATAACATATACTCTTTTTTTTAATGTTGTTGGATACTATTTGTTAGGATGTGGCTGAGAATTTCTGCACCTACCTAACCCTAACCCTGACTCATCAAAGAGATAGGTCTGTAGTTTTCTTTTTTTTGTCATGTCCTTATCTGTTTTGTGGATGAGGGTGATGGAGGTTTCATAGAATAAATCTGGGAGGGTTCTTTCCTTCTAGATTTTTAAAAATAGTTTGAGTAGAATGGGGATTAATTCTTCTTTAAGAGTTTTGTAGGATTTAGAAGTCAAGCCATAAGGGCCTGTGCTTTTCTTCGTTGGGAGGTTATTTATTACTGATTCAATCTCATTGCTTGTTATGGTATATTCAAGCTGTCTATATCTTCATGATCCAATCTCAGTAGAATATATGTTTCCAAGAATTTGTCCATCTCATCCAGGTGTTCTTGTTTGTTGGTACATAGTCGCTCATAGTATACTCTGATGATGTTTTGTATTTATATTTATCTGTTGTAATATTGATTTACCTGGTTCCTTTCTCTCTCCTTAATTAGTATACATAATGGTGTGTCAACTTTATCTTTTCAAAGAACCAGTTTTTGCTTTCATTTATTTTCTGTATAGTTCGTTTATGTCTATCTCATTTATTTCTGCTCAAGCCTATTATTCTCTTTTCT